CGTCCAGCTGAATCTGGAGAAGCGTGCAAGGGGATGGCATTTTTGCCCCCAGCAATTCCCAAATACCATCTCCGTCAATGTCTACGTGTCAGAGTCATACTCTGCATGAGTCTAAGGAATGCTCATGGATCATGTAAGCATTGCAGTACAAAAACCAGCAGCAAAAGAATCTTGATACAATAACACAAGAGATGATTAGAGAAAATGGTCTTGAAGCATTAGAACAACAAAGGAAAGTAGAAATAGAAAAAATTCACCAATCACCACCTGAAAGAGATCCTACGAGGAAAACTCACGGCAATATTACAGTCAATTCCAGACCAAGGACAAAATATTATGAGCAACAAGAGAAAAACAATTTACATATGGCAGTACCACAATTAGAATCATACAAGACCTAGCCATGGCGACACTAAAAGACTGTGGGTCTTTCTTTGTAAGGGGAAAAGAGCTCAAGATGGTACCAGATCTTGAGCTCTTTTCCCCTTACAAAGAAATTGGAAAGATTTACCCCAAAAGTTTATACCATGAGTCCCTGCTCAGGGCCTTCTGCCCCACCCCCACCCCAGGCAGGGCCTCCAGATTCTAGGTCTTCAGATTCCAAACCCAAAGCCTTCTGTGCCACGCCGCCCTGTTACAAGAAGCCAGTCCTCCACCTCAGTCCTGCTCTGAGTGCCCACTCACGGCAGGGAGACAAAGCTCTGCAGCACTGACTCTGTGCCAGGCACTGGGCTCACTCAACAGGCAGACCGCCGGGGGTCCGAAGGACAGACCTGGTGATGGAGCAGGTCCATCTGAGCCCCCGTCCAGCTGAATCTGGAGAAGCGTGCAAGGGGATGGCATTTTTGCCTGGGACCTGGTCCCCAAACTACTCCCAGGAACCAAAGCACTGAAGACAATGTGCCCCAACACCCCAGGCCCCGAAGGGCAATTGACCTGGTCAGAAAGATGTGGCTGTTTGTGCACATGTCTTAGATAAAGCAGCTTGTACTAAGTGTCATAAGACACACAAATTGCTAAGAAAGAAGGAAAGGAGAGAACTTAAGGAAGTCCCAGCCAACCTCCCACCTCCATGCCTTTGCACAGGCTGTCCCCAACCACGCCTGCAATATCTTCCCTGGATCTCCACGGAGTCCTTCAAGCGGCTAGACGGCATGGGGGACAGACTGCTGGACTTGGACACAGGAAGACTTGATTTGGAATCTTCCCTCAGACCCTTATCTGTAAAATGGGGATAAAAAGAGCACCTACCTCATGGGGCTGCTGTGAGGAACAACGGAGGTCACACTTGGGAAGCAGTTTTCAGACCCTACTACAACACATAAATGCTGGCTGTTTATTATTATTAAAAATTCAGTTCAGGTGTTACCTTTCACAAGATGCCTCTTCCTCAACCCACCCCCAATTATTAGAACCTGAGCCCCAACACTCCAAATTCCTCTTCATTCACGTAAACATGTACATGCTGTACCCCCAGAGGGTCCTTCTACCAATGCTATTGGAGTGAGGGTTACTAGACGTCTTAGGGAGCCAAGACAGCACCTGTGCCCCTCGGGCAAGGGTTAAAGACTGTACCTACTGTAACAGAAGCCTGCGCCCCTTCTAAGGTCAGGGGACCTTCCTTCACACTGATGTAGGTTCACAAAAGACAAGTCTAAGTAACTGTGATCCCATGAAAGTAAAAAGCTTTTGGACTAGGAAGAAACAACACAACTGGGATAAGAAGCGCAAGTATGGCTTGGGGGAGGGAGCTTTCCATCAAGTATCTCTGTTAGGGGTCTGCTGTCTAAGGGAGCCAGTAAACTAACCAACGTGAACACCAAAAGCCATTCCCCAATAGATAAATGGTCAAACAATATGGACAAATATTTCTCAAAAGAAGAAAGCCAAGCTATCAACCACCCTGTGAAAAAATGCTCCAAAGCCCTAATAATTAGAGAAATGTAAATTAACACAGCTCTGAGGTTCTACTTCTCACCCACCAGATTGGCAAAGGTGACAAAAACGAAAAATGAAAACTGCTGGTGTTGTTATGAATTGGTACAGTCATCCCAGAAAGCAATTGAGACAGATGACCAAAAGTTACCAAGTGTGTATATATTCTTTCACCCAACCATATCACTACCAGGCCTAAGAGATCAAGGAAAGAGGAAAAAGGCCCATAGGGACAATAGCAGCCCTTTTTATAGTAGCCAAAAACTGGAAACTGGCAGGGGCAGCCGCAGGACGAAGGGGATATCCCCTGCAAGTAGGGACTGGCCGATCAAATTATGGTGTATGAATGAGAACTGCAACATCAGCAATGATGAAAGAGGGTTTCAGAGAAATTTGGGAAGACCCATACTAACTGATGCAGAGTGAAGTAAACACAACCAGGAGAACAGTTTAACAAGTAACAAAAACATGTAAAGACAACCTCATCTGAAAAAACTCTGAGCAATGCAATTACCAATGATGATGTATGACAGCTAATCTCCAAGAGAGCTGAAATTCTCCTTGTCCTATTCACTGACTCCTAACGAACCTGTTCTTTAATCTCACTCAAATTGCCAAAGGGGACTTTAGATGGGTGGCTGGGGAGGAATGAAAGGGAGAAAAGACACACAAATAATGGAAGAAATTAGATGATGGTGACATCTAGGTCAGACTGGCAGCCTATAAGAGGAACAAAAAAGCCGTGAGAGTTTGCAGGGAGAGAGATACAGTAGAGCATGAGCCAAGCCCTTGAGGAAGAGAATTCCCAAAGGAGGGAAAATAAGCCCATTCCAGGCACAGAAGACCAAGAAAAGGGAGGGCAGGGAACGCTCAAGGCAGCAAAAACTAGGGACAAAGCCAGTGCCCACAGACTGAAGAGTGACTAACCAAAGTGAGGAGTCCCTAAGTATCCAGACTGATATTTGTATAATGTGGCCAAGATGGCAGACGCAGACTCGGACCGCCGAGCAGCGCCTCATCTGACGCCTTTGCAGGGCATGGACGTGACTTGGGAGACCCTGAAGCCTGGGTCAGTGACGCCGAAACTCAAACCTGCCTCGTCAGGATACAGGCCCAGCAGCACGGCATCCACAGACCAACGCAGACAAGTTCATAAAGAAAAGCTCAACGCTAAGTGATTATATTTATATTTATATTTATATATATATATATACACACACACATGCATATGTTATATATATGTATATATGTATGTATATATACATACATACAGATACACTATACCAACTATATATGTGTGTGTGTATATATATAAGATACATATATATATCTATATATATATCTATATATATATATTATACCAACTTAAAACCAGAAGTGCAATATGCAATCTGCATTTATGGAGGGAGCAGGCGTACTAACTAAAATTATAGACTTTATTCTAAATTAAAGATTTCCTGTTTTAACTTTTTTTTCCCTTTAAATCGATCACTCCAGAAAGCCTAGCTACGATTAAAATTAGTCAATTTACAGATAAATCAATGCAAGGATAGAGACTTCCAAATCATTTAACATTTACAGATTTCCATATTGGTCGATTATAAGACTTGGAAGAAACAGCCATGTTGGAAGCTATTAAAAGTTCATTCCTGAAGATGCCTACCTACTGTATATAAATAGAATGGAAATTATGAAATCTAAATAGTATCAGAGGAAACTGAAAAGACATCTATGACCTGACGCAGTGAAGTGAGCATTAATGCAGTGATAAACCCCAAATCCAGAGGACTGAAGACACTTCCTGGGAGAGGTGAGGGACTGAAGACGCTCAAGGAGGCAAAGTTTTGGAAGCGTCTGTTGGGGTTTTGCTGGACTCTGTATATTTGGGGTGAGGGCTTTCTTCTTCTCTTTAATTGTTCCACAGGGTGCAGAGGGGCAGTGGGAAGGAAAAATAAAACAAACTATAAAATAAATGAATGTAAAATAGATACATTTTAAAAAATATTTACTTGGCTGAACCTAGAATGGATAGAGCATCTTATCACACTAGGTCTTAGCGCACAGCCGCTCCCCGCTTCTGTCATGTACTCAGCGCTGGCGGCCACAGCCCGACTACAAGACTTCGGGCCAAGAAGATGATTCGAGAGGGGCCTTCATCGCTAGATCACCAGGGATGCTCAGGAGGGTTTTTCAAGCAGGGGGCAAAGGCAACCCCCAAGTGTGAGACAGAGAGCAAGCTCCCTCACTATTTGGGAAGGTTAGTTTCCATAATAATGGGTGTTTCACAAAGGAGTCAGGGAACACAATCAGGAATACCAGACAACAGAATGATACACATTTACACTGTTGAAAAGACTCGGGGAAGAAGGCATAGAAAGATGACTAATACCTGCAAGATCTTCATATGGAGAGAAAGCCCTCGGTTTAATTAGGGCTCTGTGCTAAGCACTTCACAAACAGCTCATTTGATCCTCATAACAACTCTGGGAGGTAGGTGCTGTTATTCTCCCCATTTTACAGATGAGGAAACTAAGGCAGAGAGAGGTGATGTGATTTTCCCAGGGTCAGTGCAGCTGGATTTGACCTCTTGAATCCAGGCCTGGCAGTGCTCGATCTGCCATGCTGTCTCACTGACCCCTTCCTGTCCCAGACCCTTCTGCTGGACTGAGTGTTCCGACCATCACTCCACAACCTCGCCCACCCTTGAGCTTTCATCACCCAATTTCAACCCTGGGGGGCCCCCAATCTTCGCCTCTACCCTAACTCCTGCCCTTCCACTGGTGTTCTTCACCATACATGCCGATGTTCCCTCAAACATCCTCAACTTCCATCACT